TCCGCGTTAAATCGAGGTTTGGCTTAACTGGTAACGCGTAGGGCGCAATGCAACGTAACGCAACTTGGCGAGTTCATTAAAATGTCTGGTCGACATTTTATAGAGAGGTTACTCCACCACTCGAGGCGATATGGGTGGAAACAAGGTTTGACCCAAATGTATTAGGGATGAGGGAAATGAGGGGCATCGGCCCGCTTCTAAATTTAACTCGGGATCAGTGAAAACCTGGAAAAACACAAGTAAAATGTGTTACGCAGTTCGACTATAAGTAGGAGATGAGAATCTTGCTTTCGCTCATTCCCTTTCTTGGAGGACTTTCGAGTTGTTGCCATTTGAATTGGTGGATTAAGAGGAGAAAACTTTCTACGTAAATATCGCCAGCTTTAACGCGTTACAGTTACTCTATAATATAAAATTTACGTATTCTTTTTTCACGTAGAATCTAGCCGACAAGATGAGGAGTACGACGTTCGTGTTAATCTTGGTGTTTTCAACGCTCCTAATATCCACGACGGTGATCGTTCAGGTGGATGCCGGAAAGAAAAAACTCTTAAAGATGTTACTGATGGCTAAATTAGCCGGTAGTAGCAAGAAAATCGTGTTACTCCCCATACCGTTTGCAATACCGTAAGTACACGTTACGTAGAAATGGGCAAATTCCAGAGATTTTTTTTTTAATAGAAACACCTCCACGTTTTTATTTACAGAATCAAGAAACACTCGCACGTAACAGTGGGTCACGGATGGCACGGAGGAGGTGGTGGTTTCGGTGGTGGTTTCGGTGGTGGTCACGGATGGTGGTGACCAAGCTAATTTAACACGTGTATGTACATACTGGTGTAAGAAAATTGCCATTTTATATTTCATTAACCGGGTGATAGTCAATGCCATAAAATGTTACGCATGCGAAACGAGTAACAAATTGTATAAATTATATCCATGTCATCATTAATAAAGTGATTTTTTTTCTATTTATCCGTGTTGTTTGCCTATTTATTGTCGTAATTGGGCCGCTTTTCTGAAGGTGGTACGTTGACCTAAAAATGGTTACTGTGGGAGGCCCTCCAAGTGATTATATAATTATTTAACTCCGTCACGCAACGCTGCTCGGAAGTGGGTCGATTATTTGAATAATTAAGTTTGTTTATTTACTGTTTTTTTTTAATGCGAAATCGCATTTTCAAAGCGTAAAATTCCATAAATCGAAGCGAGAATCGTGATGTTTCTCCGTGTAACTTCAGCCCGATCGTAACCAAAGTTGTTTACGCGAATTTTATGCGTAATTTTGCATCGTAACAGACATTTGCAACGCGTAAAATCCCATAAAATAAATAAATTCATTAAAGGACTCGTGAGATTCCTCTACGTTACTCCAGCCTGATCGTAACAGCTGAATTTTGAAATGCATAAAATTCTATAAATTACAACAGATTTCCGTGTTACGTCAGTCCGATCGTAACCGAATTGTTTGTGCGTTTTTTTCTGCGTAATATTGCATCGTAACAGCCATTCGAAACGCGTAAAATCCCATAAATTAAAGCAATTTATTGAATGACTCGTGAGATTTCTCCGTGTTACTTCAGCCTAATCGTAACGAAAACTGTTTATGAGAGTTTTCTGAGTAATATAACATCGTAACGGCCATTTGCAACGAGTACAAGACCAAAATTCGAGACAGAAGAGAGTAAAAACCGTGCTGTTTACATGGAAATTAAACAGAAAAATCTGTATTTTTCCCCAAGAGTAGTAATAATAATAATAAAATCGATGGAGGATATATTGTTTTCGAGGTCGTTACGTCCAAAAATTTCATCATCATCAGAAATAAACTAACTACTTAGTTAGAGAGTGGGATTTTTCCTCCACGAACGAAAGTGGAACGATCCTTCCTTCAAAATGTCTGTGACCTGGAATTCGAAAGAATAATAATTTCGGTTTAATATACACTGTACGAGGTCAAAGTCGAATTTTTTCGAAGATCTTGACCCCTCGACCTTAGTTAAAACTACACGTAACAAGACAGAGGAGTAAGAAGTCGAAGACCTTTCGAGGATATTTGGCTTTATCGGTTCGAAGAGAATGGGGTGGGCGACGAACTATCGAGTGGAAAATCATCTTACTCAAATAACCATAAACAATTGAAAAATTGTCATTTCTTCATGTATATATATACACACGATCGCTAACAATAACTAGAATGCTGAAAATCTTATCCCTCTCGCACCTGTCAAAGGTAAGTTGAAGATTTTTAAAGCTTCTCCTAGGAGTCAATGGGTGCTCCGGTGGTTCTAACAAACCAAGACCCTCTACGGAGAACTTTTAAAGATTTAAGCGCGTTTCCAATTAAAATTCTTGGCGCAGTAACAGTACTTTCACTTATTAGCATGAAGGCGGCCTGTTGTACGATCCTGGTGTTCTTGCTGATGAGCAGCATATTCCATGTATCGGAAAGTAAGAAAGAAAAGAAACTTTTCAAATTATTGGTCATGGCCAAGCTTCTGGGAGAACATAAGAAGGTTCTCATCCTCCCCATCCCATTTATGTAAGTACTTTCTTCTATAATATCTAACAAATGGTTAAAATTTGATGCCCTAAATGAAAGGTATATGCATTTACAGGATGGGATCCATGATGTCTTCGTTCGGCCATTCCGGTTTCGATATGGGTTATGGAGGAATGTACGACTAACGAATTCGACCAATTACGCTCATTTTAACATTATTTGTAATTTTAATTCTGGTGTTCATCAATAAACTCATTTTCTATTTAGTCTAGTGTTAATCTTTGTTTCGTTAATTTTAATCGAATATCTTAATGGTCGGACTTGGGATAAAGTCGCAGCTCCAGTTTACGTGTCTTTTTATTTTAATGCAACTTGACATAACAGTTGGAACATGAACTTCATCCTGAAATATTGATGAGGATCTCCCTCAATTCTCATGATCGTCTTCTACACTCCTCAGGATCATCTACAATATTCAAGATCGCCCCAGGATCATCTACAATACTCAAGATCGCCTCAGGATCATCTACAATACTCAAGATCGCCTCAGGATCATCTACAATACTCAAGATCGCCTCAGGATCATCACTCAAGATCGCCTCAGGATCATCTACAACACTCAAGATCGCCTCAGGATCATCTACAATATTCAAGATCGCCTCAGGATCATCTACGATCTTCACGATGTTCTCTTACAATCCTCGTGGAGTTATCTCACACTTTCTAACGATCTATTACAATTCCAACGAGATGCTTACAGATGAATCTTTCTCTTGAAAAATTTAACCCCGACAACAAACTTCTAGATATTAAAATCTACAAAATACACTCAAAAATCTAATTTATTTGTCGATTAGCATTAAATAAATAATTACAATTAGATAACGGTGCCATGTTGGTAGCCATTACGCAAAGAAAACAGGCAAGAGCCAAGTTACGCAGGGAAATATAATATAAACAAACACTCAAATTATCACGTAGCACTTTATATAATGCTTAGAACACAACTTTACTTAGTATAATTAGGATTATTTAGAACAAAATACACTTAATGTGGGAAAATACTAATTATTGTTTCGTAACACAAAGCAATTGTATTGAATCGAACACACAATTTCTCGAGTGAAGTCTATAAATTAACACAATGGAAAAATGTGTTAACAAATTTAATTAGTTTAGGGCCTTTGTGAGCTCAAAGCCTCCCAGGCCTTACAAACTTGCTATTTGAGGCCCCGGTATGGCCAATAATTAACGCTAACGCGTTAAAAAATTGTATTACATTGTTGAAAGTTTAATAAAATAGAGGGGTTGTTTCTACCGATACAATGAATTTTAGGGTCTGAATAAGGGCCAAGCAACCCTACTGGCTCACCTGAAATGAGACTCGCATTTAGTTTAGAATGTCGAGAAACTCCCTTCGTAGAATCAATACATTTTTGGGGCCTTCGTATATGTGAGGTTTGAATTAAATTATTAACTATTACATATATCACTTAACATATATTCAAATAGAAAGGGCCTTTGACCTTCCAGATGTCTACGGAGGCCTTAAAAACTTATTTTTTGAGGCCCCAGTACGGCCAAAATTAACGTAACGCATTAAAAAGTTGTATTATAACTTTTAAATAAAACAAAGCGGTTTTTCTTAACACAGTTGAATTTAGGGCCTCAAAACGAGCCAAATATCACATAAGGCTTTCCTGTGATAACGCTTACACTTAGAGTGTCAAGAAACCCCTTTCGTAGAATTAATAAATTTTTGGGGCCCTCGTGTATATATATATGAGGCCTCAAATAAAACTGTCTCGCTGGTCAGTACGTAACAGGGAGAACATCCATATTATGTTTAATGTAGAAATACCCCCTAGCCAAAGTTTTTAAATTTAAGCCCCCAGCCAAATTACTCTGAGACTCCTTGATAGTGCCTGTGTCTAGTAAAATGATCTAAAATGGAGTATTTTTCATGAGAGTATCCTTATCAAAGCTGAAATCTTTGATAAGGATATTCCCTTATAAAAACTCTTGTTTAAGTGCTCACGAGCTCTTACACGAGAGTTTACAACCTTGTAAGAGCACTTGAAAACTATATAATGGGCCTTTAAAAGATCAAAGGGGGAAACATGGAAGTGTCTAGTTTGACAAATCTGATAACTTGCTCCCCTCACAATCAAACCTATTATGAGATATAAGATTAGATTGATGGGATAAGGAAACGTAACACGTGGTCTATCTGTCAAGGGTTGGGTGCCTCCCGAGAAGACTTTCCATTCCTCCCGTATCGGCGTTCGTTTTTAACGCGAACTTTACTCTGTGTGTCTATAGGATAAAGCACCACTGAAACTGGCTGCTCAGGTGTTAAAAAGTGAAGAAACCCCGGGAAACTTTACGTGCTCACCCCGTTGGCCACGTGCGAATCCACGACCAACTACCAGTGTTCGGCAGTTTAATCCACTCTGCTACTGGTAGTACCCTTTTAGAAAGCCCAGAAAACTCCACATAAACCCAATAGTATAGGATAGTGGGATTGATGGAATAAGGCAAAGCGACACGATATCGAACTGCCCAGGGGGACCTTTCTACGGGAAAACTGGACCCTGTTTAGGTGTTAGACACACGAAAACCCGGAAAACACGTGTCTGATCCATCGAACCCACGACCCGAGTTTAGTGGCTCTACTCGGCCACTGATGGGTCCTATTAAAGAGAATCCTGGAGGACATTTAAAAGCAAAACTAGCGTCGAGTCTCGCTTTCACACTATAAAGAGGACGACAGCTGTTTCACGAACAAACCAACGACACTTAAACTATCTTCGGAGGCGGAAGTTCTCTCAGTTTCGACACTAGATAATAATTGGGTATCGAGTGTAAGCGTGCAGAATGAACAAGAATCTAATTATAGAACGGAAGAAACGTTTCTCTTCCACACGTTCAACATTCTTGTGCACAGTTCTCACGCTGCAACCCAACCCTACACGTTCCAAAGTAATAACTGACACGATTCTCATGTGCAACAATCGAACGAGTAAAAAACACTTAACTATATAAACACATCGATCGTAAACGGAGCATATTGCTTCTTTAGCCTCCAGCATACATCGGCATCCTCCTCCAGAACACCATTTTGGATTTACTACTCCGCCTATCCTCAGGTACTGTTAATTAAATTTTTTGAATCTGTCGTAGAATTCACGAAATCCTCCTTAAAATTTAAGATCTGAAATCAGTAAGCACCCAAAAAAAATAAAATGGGTTGTTTAGTACGATTGCAACACCCTAGATTAATGCAATAACCTACGATCAAGATAAATAAATAATTTGTACACGGTTGCATACAAATTAGCTGTATAGTAACGTACAGTCCGTGAAATCTTGAAGCTCTACAACAGCTAAAACTCAGTAAATAGCTGCTAATATTCATTATTTAATATTCAAATTTTATTAAATAATTGAAGGACTTAATATATATTTATTAATTCATTTTTAGGTGTTATTTATTATGAAGACATCGACTATTTTAATGTTAATTTTCCTATGCACCATGATAGTTACAGCTTCTTCCGGGCATCTGTTTGTTTACGATGGCCTAACGAAGCATAAATACCTAAAGAAGAAACTATGGAAGTATCTTTTATTGTCCAAGTTCAAAGGTTTAAAAGCTCACCACGCTAAGAAATTGGTGGTTTTGCCCATTCCCCTGATCTTAGGGTAAGAGAAACGATTTCAAAATACCTTTCAATGGTCAGATATTTGAAACCGATAAGATCTTTTCTTACTTTCAGCTTGGGCCATGCTGGCAAAGGATTCTCTCACGGATTCAAACATGTCGGATACGCAACGAAACTAGGCACAATCGGTGGGAAATTTTACCACAATTTCGGATATCCCGGATATATCTGGTGATTTTCCTAATAAAATATTAGGTGGGTTGTTTTTCCACCTCCCAAAAAAGTATGGAGAAGTATGGATCTTAGTTTCGAAATACGAGAGACTATTTATGAAAAGAGTTTAGAGATCGAGAAAAATCGAGTTTTATCGATTTAATTCGATCATTGTGCCCGATTTGTATCGAGAAATGCTTAAATAAATTTGTAACTTTTTGTTAGATTAAATAAAGTAATTAATAAAGATTCGGGTTTCTTTATTCTTGGAACCATACTGTAACAATATAATTCAACAATAGCACAAGATATTCTGTTATTGTTGTGTTATGATGTGTTGATAGACTGGTCTTCCCTCTGTTTATTCAGCTACAGCTGTATATTGTAGGGATAGAATTGAATAAATCCTGATCTGCAATCCATAAACCACCACCAAAGAATTGGATTATCACTCGAACAAACACCAAAAAACTGGATTTACACGCCAAAGACCACCACCAAACAACTGAATCTGCACGCCAAAGACCACACCAAACAACCAAATCTACACTCCAAATTGTTCTTTGAAGGATCCAGGATCTGTCAATACAATAACGCTCCTACTTAATTCTAATTTCTAAACTAAGAAAGCGCTGGATGGCGATTTTAACAGATAATTTTACTCTTTAAAGGGGCCTCACACACTCAATTTTCTCAAGTACTTAGTCGGAATTCTAGATCTCAGTATCAAGTATCGCGCGATAGATCTTACCTCTGTACTTACGTAAAAGGGGCCTGGCGGAACGATAAACTTCGAAATAATTTAACGAAACCATCAATATTCAATAATTTCACGGGATTAATTTATTCTACGATCTAGATGTGTGCCTAATATAACTACAGAGAGCAAAATTAATTGAATACGAGCAGGAATTCCTGATCGATGGGTGGGATATAGATAACCGGGTTACAATCCCGATTAACCTTAAGGGTCGACAATTTTCTTTAATTAATTTACAATTTATATAAAAATTCCTAATATTTTTCCTCATGTTCGATTATAAGAAGGACCACTAATATCGGGGTGACGCACATACATCATCAGACAAGACCGGTGAGTAGAGATTTATGTTCCTATCTGCTGTCTTGGGCGATCCAGTAACGTTAACCTTCTTTCGATTATGAGGGCTACATCAGTGGAACTGGTTTTAAAGATCATTTAGTTTCTTAGGATCAATTCCAGAATTTTTAAGAACTAATTTAGTTTATAGATAATATCTTCCAGGTAATCCGATGGTTCAATCCCTGATATCTTCCAGGTAATCCGATGGTTCAATCCCTGATAACTTTCAGATAACCCGATGTTCCACCTTGTATATCTTTTACATAATCCGGTGGTTCCACCTCGAATATCTTCCAGGTAATCCGGTGGTTTCACCTCGAATATATTCCAGGTAATCCGGTGGTTCCACCTCGAATATCTTCCAAGTAATCTGGAAAGATATCTGAGGTGGTTCCTCCTCAGATATCTTTCAGATAATTCTAGCGGTTCCGATTCCGTCTTTCAGCTTGAACCATCGACTTTTCTTCTGTACTTTTGTTTTATTGTATATTCTCTAAATTAGATTATATTTATTAGATTTGACGAGATGATAAACAAATTTAGTCACGGGTTCGGCTCGACAGTTGCCAATTATTAATGAGAATAACTTTTGATTTAGGAACAGTCGTTTTACCTGCTTCATGCCCACTTAATGTAGTAATTTACTCTTAATTTTTACATTTATTTATTTAAAAAAGAGGGCTTTTACTATTTTCAGAAGTAGAAATATGATAAAATTAGGGCTTAAATTATATAAAAACAATGCCAAATTTCTATATAATTACCTCATACAGGAAGAACAGGCTACATATTTTTATAGGGTACGGAGTAAAGAGCAAGATGCCCACGGCTCCACGCTTAGAGGGGCCCTAACATCCTGGCTATTGTATTGCGTAAAGAGACAGCTATATAGGGCCTGCATTCACACAGCTGGATCTTTACACAATATGATAGAATAAAGTTAAACTTGGGCTTTTATTCAGTTCAAGAAAAAGTAACACATTCATGTTTTCAGCTCCTGTAATACTCACCTTCACAGAGAATGAAGACTACTACTGTATTGTGTATATCTGTACTCGTTGTACTCCTGTTGAGTACAAACGAAAACGGAGTAGAAGCTTCCAGAAAGAAGTTATTGAAGCTCTTGTTGACTAAATCCTTAGCCAAAAAGAAATTCATCATCATTCCCATTCCAATTATTTCGTGAGTCATTTTGTTATTGTTAACTAATTTAACAAATTTTAAATGTTTTACTTAATTAAATTTCGTGTTCCTTAACCAGGCTCAAAGCGGATCCACCCATGATGCCGAGCATGATGCCAAGTATGATGTTTCCCCCATCCATGATGGGTCCTCCGATGATGGGCATGGATTGATTATGTTGAATATTAATCGAGCGTAACAGGATTATAGTTACTCATGTAATCGAATGTATATAGTTTATATTAATTCCAGTAACTGTATAGTAGATGAGTGATAATAAAAATATAACCAAAGTTTATTAAACAACATCGCTGTCAATCTTCTTTATAACTGCGCGCGTTGCAACAAGATCGGTGAACAGTTCTATGAAAATATTGTATAAACATTATACTGGATTGATGGAATAAAGCAAAGCAACACTTGAGCAATCTTCCTCCCAAGAGAACTTTCTATGGGAAACTGGTCCACACATGAACTTGGAAAATTCAATGCAGCCAGTCTGTTGGCAAGGTGTGAACCCATTATCAATGTTTAGTGGTTTTATCCACTTAGCCAAGTGTTGTGTTGCATTATTCCAATACCCATGGTAGTAGGCATTGCAATAATGCAACACAACACGATGGGGTGCTTCTGGAAGAACTACATGTCTGACAAAAAGGTCCTCTCAGTGACCAAAAATACAAAAAAGAAATTAGGAATAGCTCTTTCAAATAAAATAACCCTGATGTCCCTTAAGGTCAGGCACATTAACAAAATAAAACAGCACTTGACTTACTATGCACATGTACTATTGCTTCTCAAACATTTTAACTGGTTATTTTTCTAATTAGCAGTTATATATTTTTTATAATCGACAAATTAGTAAAATTAAAAACAAAACAAGAAAGAATTATGGCATGTCTTATCTACATAAAACTAAAATGTTTTATTAAATAATAATACTTTATCCTTTTATCAAATCATAAATATAAAACTTCACGGTTTTGAAAAAAGAAAAATGCCGTTAATTATTATGAAAAAATTCTGTATAATCCATGCACAAAAGTATAAATTTATTAAATTTTTCTCTCAAACTTATACTACAACATAATTAATGCAGCAGTTTTAAAATCTAAAAGTAATTCAAAATTTAAAAATAACAATTTATATTGTTGTATGCTTGTATATTTTGTGCGCTATAATTTTGGGGAAATTTTGGATCCTGAAAATATTCCGCATCCCCTTTTCATAAGCTGCATTGTACCACAACTCTTCTTGCTGCCTGCAGACAGCTACACTTACTGTTAGCAAACAAAATCAACAAGGCAGCCAAGGAAACAAATTTCCTGATTTTCTATGACTTTTTTCTGAACACTAATAAAAATCCCTGACTTTCCAGGTGCGTAGAAACCCCGTAGGTTCGCTTTCATCATGAGTTCCGGCTGTGCTCGCACTGAAGGCAAATTTCCATTCACCCCTCTTGAATTGCAAATTTTCCTCCCGTTATTCCGAAGGATCTGGAGTTTGGATTCACACACACAATTTTTTGTGGATGAAACATTTCAGATCCCATTCCACACTATCTGGCTGTAACAGCGTGAGTCTAATTGGAATCTGTGAGGAATATTTTAAAAATCCAAGTGGTCTCTACATCATCATCAACTGAACATTCTTTACTCCAGTTCTACATTTTCTCTGTGATTTTCTAATAAAATTAGTGATGTTGTATTGTCTCTCACATGAACTAGTTTCGGTTTGTCCGCTCATTATACTTTGTTCCCTGTGGGCCTTTTGTCCAATCCATTGCGGGTTTAGCAAGGCCCAAAATGGGACAGCCAGATCCTGACACATGAGACAGACCATCTGCAAAAAAATTCCCGTGGAGTTGCCCGCTTGGATTCAAACCTGGATCGTTTAAAAGTGATAGGATAATTTCTTAACTGTCACAGCCACTTTGTCATCAGTACTTTCCCATAATTAAGGCTCCAAAATATTTAAATGAAACACGAGTAATTGAAATATTTGTAGTTTTAATCAAAAATCATAGAAAACGCATTTGCAAATCTGACTCTAAAACGCAATGACAAACTCTCAACACTCGGTACCACTGGATCGGAACTGAATTCGAATTCAATTCTAACCCAGATCACTGCAGTTTGAATAATGGTTTTACAAGCCCAAAACAAACCAGTGAATTTGGACCTTTTCTTTGGGTAGTTTCTTTAAGTATTAAAAGTTATTTTTTTTAAACTGATTTCAACGTAAAACTACACCAGGTTTGTCTAAGCATAAAAATAGCACCAAATTTAGATCCACGTCATCATTCAAAATCATACTTTTTCCATTTGTTTGCATTATAATTATGTTATTTTTATAATTAAAACGATATCTAAGAATTTGATAAATTTAATGGATAGTGTTTATTAATGTATGTCTTACATATACAGGCAAGTGCTGCTCGACAACAGGGATATATTCCAAAGAATATGTCATAAGAGAACAGCATAGAGCAGGGCTGGCTAAACCTTGCCACACCAGGATCGACTTTCTCTATTAAAACCGTATTTTATATAATGGATACATACATATATCCGTTTCCATATATTTAATTATAATAATTAGATGACACTTAGCTTGCAAGCCACTGTTTAGCTACCGTAAGCATAGAGTATACTTAGACAAAACTATATGGTATTTTCTACTACTCATACGGGCTGTAACAACACGATGGATAACTATTTATGTATCTAAACATAGAAAAAATACAGGTGACTAGAAATTTTTCAGCTCAATTGTAATCTTTCGGTACCTCTGTTGTATAAGCAATCCGTCACTAAATGGCACTTACCTGTATTATGCAACAATTTCAAAGATTTTAGATGTGATAACCTCAAAATATTTATAAAATTTATAGAAATTTTAATGGCATTGAGAATTAAAAATACAATATACAAGTAAACTATATACAATAATGTACATAGAATTGTTTTTTTTTTTTTATATTCAAGATTAAAAGTGGTAAATACTTTAAAACTTCTTTGTGTAAGAGGTCAAGTTTATAAGATTTAAATCTATCCTAAGTTCGACTTTTAGCATCGCAAAATTTTCTTCGAAACACTTCTTCATATTTCCGTCTGACAAGCCGACAAATTTAAGATGAACTTATGGTAAAATACTTTTAAAAATTACAATTTTGATAAAATTATACACTATATGACTATTAGATTATAATTTAAAATTATTAAATATTGTTTTAAACTTTCGTATAGTATTTTTAAGTTAAATTATATGCATATGGTGTAACCACGAACCTGCCTTCTCCAGCAGTTTAGGGAGCAGTAATGTATTTTGATGGGTACTGTGGGATTTAGGCGATGAGAATAGGTAACCACTGACGACTTTCCTACGTTGGAAAATATTATGGTGGACGATAAGCTAGAAACGACAATCCTACCGCATATACATTCACCGTAGTCATTGTCTAAATATGATAGTAGTAGGGATGGCACATCCTCCGGTCTGTACTGTAAACTATAGAATTAAAAAACAATTTTTGATTAAATTATACTATTTAATCTTCAGTTTTTATATAGAAATTATTTTACTTACTTATATTTCTTAATGCTAAGAAAAGCACAGTCTAAAAGAGAATATACTTCAAACTTTGGTAAGGATAAATCTTGTTTACTTCTGAATGAATTGTCTGTAATATCTAAAACTTCTAGGTGCAAGGTCAAAATTGATATTGGTAGATACTGAAAGTAAATTATAAAATAACAAAGTTTAATATTCTGTTGAAATGTTAGTAAACTAAATTATTTAAAGTGTCATTAATTACTTGCTTATAATCATAAGCTATTACACAAGCGGGTGGAAAGTAACTAGGCATTGAGAAATTGCCATAATTTCTGTAAAAACAACAATCATAATAATATTTATGTGTACATGTACTGTAAAGTAACCAATGAAATTTTATAACTCCTGCATCAGTGGTATGGACAGTGACCAAGAGAGGCTACACGCACAGTGGCATGAGAGATGGTCGACTGCCATCTGTTCAGGAACAAATATAGATTGTTGCATGTTACGAGGTGTGGCCACTCTGCGGAGATGGTGGCATATGGTGAAGGGACATCATGCCACAATCAAGAATTGTCATCCGAGGCTAATAGCCACAGGTTCGGTTGTAGACGGGCAGAGAAGTGGCCGTCCAAACACATCATGATGCCGTCATTTGAGAAAGTCAGTGAATGGCATATTGAATTTTAAAGTAGAAATTATAGCGATTTCTCAAACCTAGTCACTTTCATCGCATCTTGTACAAGGTGCACACTTTAATATTTATCCAGGTGCACAGTAAAACACAAGTATAATAAGTATATGCATAGCCCATGAAACATTAGTTTCACTGCAATGTTTACAGTAAAATAAATAAAATTAATTAAAAAAAGAAGTATATGTAAATTGCACAGTAGTAACATGGCAATATGTAAATAATCTCTGTTTCTCCAAGTGTAAGGATAAAGCATAGCATAGCATGACAAAAAATCTCCAATTGTAAAGGATAAAAACCAATTGTATTAACCAAATTGATAAAAACCATTGTATAAATTAATGCAAAATAGTCAGCTTTATTTTACTATAGCACATGTTCAAAACATCTTGCATCTTGGAGAAATTAAGTGCTTACTTTTTGTGCATTTCATCTCATTTCAGTATAATTATTTCATAGTGTTTGTGAGTATAAGGTGATGCCATAGTACTCTATCAATTAGCAGACTACATTAGCATCGCCACAATCTCTGAACACTGTTTTTAATTTGCATTTTGTTAATTTGAAAAATTTATGTATTGCAAAAGAACTCCCTTGTGATTTAAATATGTTCCTTTTTGAATAAATTCCTTTATTTTATCATAAACATTGCAGTGAAAGTAATGCACAATATGCTATATATATTATTGTGCAATGACAGGAAGAGCTCTCTTGTACTGGATAAATACCAAAGTAAATACTCTGTTGTAAACAGCTATATTGACCATTTAGTACTGGAAAATATGAGATGAATGCATCAAAGTAGTTGACCTCAATGGTTTTTATACATAACAGCCAATGGTTTTTATACACAAGAATTATTTTCATTTGTTTTCTTTATTTAATGCAGTCAAATCTCAATACAGCACATCACCCCGTTTGTTTTTGGCTCTCTACCCTGTAGACACTAAGAGAGCCATTTTTATCCATACCAGTAGTGAGTTTTGCCAGGCTCACAATGGATGGACAGGACCACAAATAGCCAGGAAACACTGTGAAAAATGCTTATTGTTCACCCAAATTCAATCCCTGGTCACCAAAAGCAGTAGGCCAATACTGAAGTGTCTCAGCCATGTCACATTGCCCTTATAAAACACTAGTGAATGGATTTTACTCAAAAATATTAAATAGGGAACCTCTTTGATATCCATAAATTATGAAACGTAGGATTTGGCTCTGCAAACAACACTGTCATCTCCTAATTATAATTTTCAAACCATCTAACACATGATCTATACAATGCTACACCTGACTTAATTATGATTTCAGAGATAAACCAATGATGATATTCAAAGTTTGATTGTAATTTATAATTGTTTATCTAGTGGATCTAACAACCATATTATTAAAAATCGAGTATTTGGGTTTTTTCATATGCCTGTGACTATGAATCTGGAGCAGGGGTCACCAAACTATGGCCTGTGGGCCAGATCCGGCTCGCCACTGCACTGTACCACAAATGAGCTAAAATATATTTATTTATATGGAAATATTATGGATTGTAGATGAACTTATTATGTAGAAAAATTAAAATAAGTGTAAGTGAAAATGTCAAAATTGGTTCAATCTGATTTTTGCATTTGACAGTAATATAATTTTTGGGAAAATCAGTGAAATGAAAAATTCGGCGACTTTTACTTAGAGTATGATTTAGATATCTGAGAGTTTTTTGTGTATTCAGTATACTATATTGAACAATATGGTTATGCCGCCCACTCTTGTCATTCTCTCTGTTATATAGCCCGCTGTGAAAAAGTTTGGTGACTCCTGTTCTAGGTTTACTTAACTTCCAGTAAAGAAAAAGATAACTTATACAGTGATAACATGGTTTTAATTAAATATATTTTCATTACAATCTAAAGTTTTGATATAATTTCAAACTAACATACCTTCAGGCAATTATTTCTTGCCATAAACACCTTCAAGTTTCTCAATTTTCCGATATTCTCAGGTAATTTTATTAATTTATTCGAACTAATTTTTAGAGAATTCAATTGTTTGAAATGACAAAATTCCGGAGGCAGAACGGATATCTGTAATACAAAACATTTGTTAATTGTGTGTGTCTAAAAGATATTTTAAAATGTAAATATGGTGATTCACTTACCAAATTTCCATTCAAATTTAAGTATAGCAAGAACTGCATCAAGTTACCGGTGCAGATTTCTTTCGGAAATTGTTCGATTTTATTATCTGCAACATTTAAATTACGCAAAGGTAGAGAAGAAAGTGCAGAAGGTAACTCGATTATTTTATTACCCTGTAAGTCCAACGTATGAAGATGGCATAACTTTAAAATCCTAGGATCGATAATTTTTAATTTACAGTTATTGAGACTAATAGTCTTGAGTGAATTTGAGAAACTTTTAGGATAATTTTCATTTCCATTTATGTTGAGATTTTCTTGAGGTAATTGTTCTGGTTTTGTTGTCAGCTGAGAAAATCTGTAAGCTTTGCTGTTTTTTAGAGCCAAGTTGAGAAATTGAATAAAGGCTTTCAGTTGAGATGGATCCGCCTGAAAATTTAAAAAAAAAATTATAATAAATTCAAAAAGACATGGGAAAGGTGATTGATAAGTCATTCCTTATTTTTAAATGCATATGTAGCATGCAGACAACTCATAAGTTAATAGATACCCTGAATATCAGCAAATGCATGAAGCAATCAATATTAACTCCAAAAAATATGTTGCCATATTGGAGAAGGGTCTTCCTCCAACATTCTCCAATAGGCTGACAGACAAAACTGTTTGTGGACGATGGAACGCCTCACCACACTGCCAAAATGACCCAGAACTGGCCGACAATGCAAGGCAACTGTTAGTTTCCATGAGCCAGTTGGTCGACCGACACAGATCCCATTGAACACATCCAGAATCTGAAAAATTGTGCAGTGTGATATGTTCATGAAAACACTTCCCATGAAGAACTTTCAGACTGAGTACCTAGCAGGTTGACATTTTACAGGCCAAGACAACAGAACTCGTTGATTCCATGCCTGATCGGATTAAGGCTTTGGAGTTTTGATGTGCATATGTGGCATTTGTATCATGTGTATACTATGAAATAAAGGACAGTGTCTGAAAATAAGGACGTCTCTTTACTTATGGGTTATCTATATACATATAATCCCTTCAAATGTATAAAGTCATGCCAACTACTGTATAAGATTGGGCTATTTTTCAATGATTATAATTTTAATTAGAGGTGTTAGGCACCTCACTCTAGGGATAAATTATCATATCATAGTTAAATATACCTGGAAGAGGAGATCAGACCAGATGGTTGGGTACCACAATTGGCAACGTATCCTCACATCAAGAGGAGGTTGTGGGTTTGGGTCCCATTCCGGACCAATTCTTTTCTTCCAGAATATTCTAAAATTATTTAATTAAATTATAATTATTAAATTAATAAGAGATGGCACCTAATGTCTTCTTCTAGGAACAAATTAATTAGTAATTAGAATTATAATCGCCAAAAAATAGTCCGATCTTATACAGCATGTTATACTAATGAATCAGGTTTTGAGAGAAGTTTATATACCCTTCTAATGTGGCAATATATACCATTTTTTTTTTTTTAAGTTAAAAGGTTATATTTTAAAAAAAGTAAAAGTTAAAAACTTCTTGATAAAAAACATAGAACAATCACTGCACTAGGAACATCATATCAGCATTATCCCTGGAGTTGGCAATTACAGGATATCCATTTACATGTCACAATTAGTTGCAGTTATTGTGTGTTGACTTGTCATTTACGCCCACAAAACATGCACCAACTGACAAAAGTGCTCAAGCAGGCATGGGGAGAAGAATAGAGGATGTTCGACATCTTGTAGAGTCCATCCCCAGTGTTTGCAAGCTCTGATCACCCAGAAAGGTGAACCAAACTATTATTAGACAGGTGTTCCTAATGTAGTGATCATTCAGTTGTAAGTTCGTAAATTATTTTTTATTCAATGGAATTTCTTATTTCTCAAATAATTTAACAACAATAATTTATTAAAAAATTAAATATTTTTTAATTAAAAATTCTTACCTTTTTAATTAGTATATCGTGAGGTGGTTCAATAAAACGAATCATTGTCTTTCCCAAAGTTATGGATGGTTTAGAAATCTTTCCTATATTATCTTGAATCTAAAATAATTAATAATAATTCTTTTAGTTAATGCAAATTGTTAATAAAAAAAATATTTAAAAGATTATTATTAATCAAATATACATCCATAAACCCAATTTTTAAATTAAAGCCAAATTAAATTGTGTTATATTAATGCTGCCAACTACTAATTAAATTTCATGTAATTTGACTTGGAGATAGGAATTAGTCACCATCTCTTGATAAATTTAATAACTTAGAAGGGTTTGGAAGAAAATAATTGGCCTGGAGTGGGACTTGAACTTGCAACTCCAGCTTGACATGCAGTCGCGTTGCTAGTTATGCTACCCAAATCCCCATCCAATCTTCAATTTCAGAACTATTAATTTCTGTATAATCAGTATGGTTACATAAAAATTAATTAGTAATTCGAACTCATAATGGACTTGCTAATAAAAGACCCTCTTAGCACCCATAGCCTTGGGGGGGAAAAAAGGCATATTAGATGAAACTTTGTTCCAAAGAAAAAAGGATCAAAATTGTCCCCACATCTTATACATGAAGTTGCAGTCTCCTGAATAGGATAATGAATATCTCAAGCAGCCTTCAGTAGGGTTTTCTATGGGAAACTGGGCATATTTAGGTGTTACTAATGTGAAGAAAACATGGAAAACTCCATGTGGCCAACCCATTGGTGAAGTACTAACCAAGGCCAGCTCGGTGGTTTAGTCCACTAGGCCACTGGTTGATACCCTTTACGGAGTATCAATTATTAAAATTATTCTTAATATAGCCCAATAATCTGNAATTATAATTGCCAAAAAATAGTCCGATCTTATACAGCATGTTATACTAATGAATCAGGTTTTGAGAGAAGTTTATATACCCTTCTAATGTGGCAATATATACCATTTTTTTTTTTTTAAGTTAAAAGGTTATATTTTAAAAAAAGTAAAAGTTAAAAACTTCTTGATAAAAAACATAGAACAATCACTGCACTAGGAACATCATATCAGCATTATCCCTGGAGTTGGCAATTACAGGATATCCATTTACATGTCACAATTAGTTGCAGTTATTGTGTGTTGACTTGTCATTTACGCCCACAAAACATGCACCAACTGACAAAAGTGCTCAAGCAGGCATGGGGAGAAGAATAGAGGATGTTCGACATCTTGTAGAGTCCATCCCCAGTGTTTGCAAGCTCTGATCACCCAGAAAGGTGAACCAAACTATTATTAGACAGGTGTTCCTAATGTAGTGATCATTCAGTTGTAAGTTCGTAAATTATTTTTTATTCAATGGAATTTCTTATTTCTCAAATAATTTAACAACAATAATTTATTAAAAAATTAAATATTTTTTAATTAAAAATTCTTACCTTTTTAATTAGTATATCGTGAGGTGGTTCAATAAAACGAATCATTGTCTTTCCCAAAGTTATGGATGGTTTAGAAATCTTTCCTATATTATCTTGAATCTAAAATAATTAATAATAATTCTTTTAGTTAATGCAAATTGTTAATAAAAAAAATATTTAAAAGATTATTATTAATCAAATATACATCCATAAACCCAATTTTTTAATTAAAGCCAAATTAAATTGTGTTATATTAATGCTGCCAAGTACTAATTAAATTTCATGTAATTTGACTTGGAGATAGGAATTAGTCACCATCTCTTGATAAATTTAATAACTTAGAAGGGTTTGGAAGAAAATAATTGGCCTGGAGTGGGACTTGAACTTGCAACTCCAGCTTGACATGCAGTCGCGTTGCTAGTTATGCTACCCAAATCCCCATCCAATCTTCAATTTCAGAACTATTAATTTCTGTATAATCAGTATGGTTACATAAAAATTAATTAGTAATTCGAACTCATAATGGACTTGCTAATAAAAGACCCTCTTAGCACCCATAGCCTTGGGGGGGAAAAAAGGCATATTAGATGAAACTTTGTTCCAAAGAAAAAAGGATCAAAATTGTCCCACATCTTATACATGAAGTTGCAGTCTCCTGAATAGGATAATGAATATCTCAAGCAGCCTTCAGTAGGGTTTTCTATGGGAAACTGGGCNATTTGTAGAGTTCAATGACACACTTGTTACATCTGGGATATGTATGGCACAATTGAAGAATTGTACGAAAAGACTCAGCAGGCTGATACAATTAATGAAGAGCCTCCCAGTGAACATTGATGCTGGCCCAAATGTACTGCCAAAATTTAGAGAGGCCATGGAGTCTTTCCTGTCTTGAAGATCGTCCTGACAAGTTTCAGTACAAACAAACAGACTCTACTGTACAGTATATGACAAGCAGTGTTGTATTCAATAAGCAAAAAATCGGCATCAAAACAAACCAAGACGGATATATTTTTAACAAATCGAAGTCAAGTGATAACGAGCACACGTACAGCATATACAGTTTTTGTCAACTTTGTCGTACACACGTATACCGTAACATATGATCTCGTGATACATGTTTCTATAGAATAGAGATATCAAGAGACTGAATAATTTCAAGTACAGGTATTTTTTATATGTAGGGTTTAAATAACAGATATTTTACTGGATAGGCAAAGAATCCATTGTTTATGGCATAAATAAAATGTGAACAAAAATAAATTAATATAATAATTTTAAAATTATCATCATTTAAATTAGTTTTTAATTAATTGTAACTCTTAAGGTTGCTTTTAGTCTGACGGCAGTGTAAAGTTTTAAGGTCTGCACCCTTCCCTGGAGCGGACAGGATCGTTATCTGGTTTATAGCCAAACTCTGATCGACAGCTAATTGATGTAGAAATAAGTAATGAGGGCCCGATGCAACAAAACTAATTTTTCCGCGTAAGACCCAATATTAGTAAGCAGCATCATTAAATTGCCCATTTGACTATTTGCAGTCGAAGTAAGACGACAAACTCTTATTGTTTTAAATAGTATGCTGATAATTTTTTCAAACTGCACGAAGAAGCATTTGGCATCATTTTCACAGAAAAACTTTTGAATAAAATTATGATGAAAGTTTTATGGATATAGCATGCTTCGATGTAACAGTTAAACTTGTCTAAATGAAAGAATAAGATTTGTCCTGATAGTATTTCAGCTTTCTTTAAATAAAGAAAAGCTTAACGTTGCTATCTTAACTCACCTTCTAAAAATTTATCATCATTAAAATTACACTATCACTGAGCTTAAGGAGCATTATTGATTACTCAAGTTGTAAATTTTTGTTTAAAAATGAATTTTTATCCCAGTTTTCCATCCACTAATGCCTACTTGTTTTTGGCACTTCCACGAGTTGTCTTCATTCCCAACGAGGCTAAGCACCACTTTGGGAATCACTGGCTTAGAATAGGGTAAATAGGCTAGAAGGCAGCGTCATCTACTCAATGATAAAGATTATGTTTTTCTTTTAAAAAGTTAAATTATGCCATTTTATTTTGAGTTTTATTATTTTTTCCTTCCTTCTCTCCTTCCCTCTCCCACAATTAAAACGAGATTACTGTATTTGGCTGAATAGTTTGGCTTTGAGGAAGAATTTGGTCTGAATAACAAATACTTCCTCAAAGCCAATAACTACTTTGTGGCCAAATATAGCCTAATACTAAATAATACTGAATATTTAGTCCAATGTTCATCCATTAGTAAAAAATGTTTTTAGTGCAGAGGGTTCCATAGAGATTGACCTCTGATCTATAGTTTGCTAGACGAGGCAATACAGTAGACTCCCCTATAAAACGGGTTCCTATAATTACGATTCCTATAAGACAGCGGAAAAATTGCGACGGTATCCGTAAAAAACTCCTATAATTACATAAAACGTCATCGGGCAGCCGAACTACTTTCCGCGCCGTCAAATGCCACGCTACGGAGAGATTATTATCGTCTGTACAGTATTATATATAAATTAGGTACTGTACATATAATTATATATTAACTTAATTTATTGTAACTTTATTATAATTATATATATATTTTCCGCCGCCTGGCGCAACGCTACGGATGCTTTAGGCGAACTATCGTCTGTACAGTATGTAAATTAGGTACCGTAAGTCTAATACAGTACTGTAATTTTATACATTTCTTGTGAAAGAAACATTTCTTGTGAAAGAAACATTTCTTATTCAACGGCGATAAAAATTATTTATATTAATGATGTCTCCAAAGTTCAGCGAAGTTTTCGCAGAAAAATAACATCAGAAATCGCGGCCGCGGTTTGCTGAGTTGTTCCGCGACGAAAACAAGCTTGAGCAATGGCGATGTCGAATGGTGCACACTCGGTAAGTAATCCTACAATTTTTTGTTTATAGCGTAGTTTATATGGATTATTTCCAAAAAAAATATATGTATTTTGGAAATGTTGAGTCGGATTAGTCTAGAATTGATTAATTTTATGGAAGAAAACCTTTCAAACAGCCGTAGTCCGTAAACTTGACACGTGTCGGGCTGTGATTGGAAGGACTCGTAAGAAATCGGATTCCTAAAGAATGGAACGTATCTACTGTCTTAAAGGGGGGGTCGACTGTACATGCTACAAGTCAAACACCTGTATCGACATCGTTCTCTATTAGTAAATTCATCTAACCACGCTGTTCCTATTGTAAATGTCAGATACTTGGTTAAAAATATTGTTGTTTATTATTTGGACTGCTGTTTGACTCCAATCTTGCCATTGGAATGTAGCCTCATGAGCATGTGGTTTGGATTAACAATGAGGTAGGACAAATTCCTTTATACAGTAGAATCTCATTTTATCAAATTACAAAACAAAGGATTTTCCCAAGTCCTGCCAAATCAATGTAATTTTACTTCCCTTAAGCATTAGATCCATAATTCAAAATAACGACTTTTTTCCAGCTCCATCTATTGTACACCTTGTGTGTTTTTCCAATGTTTAGTTAATATTTGGGTGTTTCCGGGAATTTGTAGAGTTCAATGACACACTTGTTACATCTGGGATATGTATGGCACAATTGAAGAATTGTACGAAAAGACTCAGCAGGCTGATACAATTAATGAAGAGCCTCCCAGTGAACATTGATGCTGGCCCAAATGTACTGCCAAAATTTAGAGAGGCCATGGAGTCTTTCCTGTCTTGAAGATCGTCCTGACAAGTTTCAGTACAAACAAACAGACTCTACTGTACAGTATATGACAAGCAGTGTTGTATTCAATAAGCAAAAAATCAGCATCAAAACAAACCAAGACGGATATATTTTTAACAAATCGAAGTCAAGTGATAATGAGCACACGTACAGCATATACAGTTTTTGTCAACTTTGTCGTACACACGTATACCATAACATATGATCTCGTGATACATGTTTCTATAGAATAGAGATATCAAGAGACTGAATAATTTCAAGTACAGGTATTTTTTATGTGTAGGGTTTAAATAACAGATATTTTACTGGATAGGCAAAGAATCCATTGTTTGCAACATAACAGATTCTTGGAATGATGGATGATTTTCGACGGCCCAAACAATCTGTTAAAACAAGATCCTACTGTACACATTATGTTGGTAATGGCACATTAACTCCACACATTCATCCATTCACCATCATAATACAAATTTCTACCAGCTCACATAGCTTTAATTACAAATATGTGGAGTTGATGATAATGCAACAGAAGAAAGGACACAAGTAAATCTTAGAAAAGTACACCGAGAATTCTACAAACAAAAGAAAGTCAGGAATTGGTTACAAACAAGTTTGAGATTGCAGAGTAACTACATTCAGTATTATTGAATACAGCTCTGTTTAGAATACTCATGTTCTTTTATCCTCACAGTGCGACCTCTTGCCATTGCTCCAATGTATGTTAATGAGTGGTTATCTCAGTTGTCGTAAAGAAATATCACATAAACCCCTGGAGAGTATGAGTCCTCTATACAGCTTTTATCATTTCAACAGCAAGAGGTCTCGTCATGAGGATGAAAGAACATGAATATTCCATAAAAAAAAAAAAAATCTGACTACTACAGCGTTAGTGACGTATGCAGGTAATAAGGAAGTCTGCATTGAACTACAGAATGCTAAATTGTTACACAGAGTGTCTTATAAGGCACAACTCAAATACATCGAATCACTTGAGATCTATTAGGCAATTAAACAGGGAGTCGCTATTAACTTCAAGGAAACGGACAATCTATCCACAGCATGGCGCACCATTGCATCAGATTCCACCAACAGAAACTCGCATTAAGGATAATTTAAATTATGGAGGATATTTGAATCACAACAATTTATGTGAAATTGATTGATTAGTTATTAGGATATGGTTTAAATATTTTACACATTTTGAAATTATATCCCGAACATTACATAAATTTTGATGCAACATTATGTAATTGATCCAAACTTTTGAAAAAATATTATATTTTACTAGCCATTTGTTCGATACCATTGAGACCTGAAGATGTCTATTTCACATAGATGAAAACGTTCGTAAGAATTTTTCTTTTTTTGTGACATGAACTGGTGATGGTTTGGTGAGTGGTATTTTTACAATTACCCAGTTTTTGATATATGTTGGAGTTAGAGATCGAGAAACTAGAGTCGGAGTGTAAGTCAGTCGGCAAGTTACCAGGTACAGCAATTTTAGTACAGCTGCATACGCAAGCCAACCACCATCGATTTCAAATGAAACGGATTAATCATTGATTTGTTCATCCAGCCATATTCAAGTTGCTTTACTAGGTAATATGCATAATGCATACTGATTCAATAGACCCAGGCGACAACAGATCTTGGCAGATATAAAATCTTGTTGTAACAGCAAATGTCTTTTATAAAAAGGATAGAAATGTAGCTCCGAACAAGGTAATTGGGGTCTTATCAGAGCCATAGACCATGCCATAGGAGTAAAAAATGTAAAAGGAACCGACAATCTATGAGCGACCCTTCACAAGATAGATCCTTCCTGAAATAAGCCTATCTGGAATTTTGAAGACATTAAAAACTGGGGAAAATTTAAAAGTGAAAAAATCTGGAACTATTTTTGAAAACAATGCAAAAATCAGCCATTATCCACTTTACTAGATACATGTAAGGGTGCGATTATGCAAACATGAGCTAGCGAGAATACGTGGCGAGAAGAGGCAATGATGTTTCATGCTTCGTTTCTCGCTCTAATTTATTATGACCACACAGATGAGAGTGAGAAACAGAGAGCATGAAACATCATCATCTCTTTTCACTTGCGTCTGCATAGTTGCACACTAAAAGCTCATAAAACACAGGAAACATTATTGCAACTACTTCCAGGACACAGTAGGATTCACGCCACACATTTGATTAAGCAGCCACGCATTCAACAAGTAGTCCAGGAAGGCAAATATCTCACCAAGGATCACAATCAGAGATTGACCTTTTAATCCAGAGGTCCAAACTCCTCATTCAAAACTGCAATTTTACCTAATAAAGTAACTAGATTAGTTTCAGATTAGAGCAAACAAAAATTTAATCAGAAAATGAGTACAAGTTACTTTTGGGTAGCTTTAATGATTACAATTACCTCCGAACGAGATGGTCGAGACCTTATCAGAGCCGTAGACCATACCCACAGGAGCAAAAAAGTAAAAGGAACCGCACTTCTACACACGGCCGAGTCGAACGCGACCGGAAGTCATATCGCTCCACTAAGATCATTGTGTTTAACTATTCCAATTGTTTGCAGAGTCGACATCATATAAATAGTTTAAGAGGATGTGGGACTCGTGGGCACCGATGCACCCGTGTAGAGAATACCGAAAGTGCACAACTACACGCGGAGTGTCGGTCAAGGCCAGCAAAGCATCCTCGTCCAACGCAGAGCACGGAGAACAAGCAGTATACCAGTACGTGATAAAAAACTGACTTTTGAAAGCAATTATCCGGCAAAGGGTCGCACGTAAGAGTACGGTTCCTTTGTCTGTTTTGCTCGTGCGGGGGGCCTACAATCCTGGGGTACCCCTCATTTAAAGGTCGCATTTTACCCATTAATGACAGTCGGAGTTACTTTTAGTTAATTTGTGTGTAAGACACTCAAGCAGATTTTATCTAAAAGTAACTTCCGCAAAGAAATGCAGAATAATCGATTCAAAAACGTGCATAACTTATAAATTTTCGTTAATAATCGTTAGAAATGAATCAGAAAAGGAAGAATAACACGCAACCTTCCACCGATGGGTATCCTCTCGAATAAGACTTTCATTTCAGCCGCCGACTGTCAAAATGGCTACCTCAGCGCCACCTCGCCGTTTCCATTTTATTTTTATTTTTTTAATTAAATAAAATCTTCCAACGACAAACGAAACCTCGAAACTTAAACATATTAATATTTCTTTAAATTATTCACGCAAAGTAAAAATTCTAATTAAGTTTTTAATTTCCGTTTCGAGGTGATAAAAATAGTAATAATTTCATTACGCATGCGTACCGATGACTTCCTGTAGATCGGAATCGGTGATGTCGGCTGGTGTGGGTCTTGCTATTAGATTTGTTAATTGTTCGTCTTTCCATACGAATTTGTCAATAAAATAAGAGTTTTTGGCGCGTAATTATGATTCAGAACGACGACGATTATGCGTTAGCTCTGTATCTGCAAGAAGAACTTAATGATGATTCTCCTGTTATTCAGGTAAATATTGGAATATTTACCAATAATATGAGAAAAATCAATGTATTTAAGGTACAAAGACGTTCTATCTACGGCTTACAGGTATAAAATAAGCTGGATAAAATCAGTCTTTAATGTACCGGTACACTGCATCATGAATACAGTTTTAAAGAAGAAAGAGAGTGAAATATCATTAAATTGGCACAAATGCTGACAGTTAGAGTCTTATCGGAGCAGCAGACAGTGCCCTCGGGAGTAAAAGAAGTCGAAGGAACCAAAGGTCTACGTGCAATCCTCCGAAATTGGCCTATCTGGTACGGTTAAGCTCCGGACTAGATGGTTGGTCCTTGTCGGAGCCGTAGACCATACCCGAAGAAACAAAAACAATCGAAGAAACTGTACCTCTATGCGGGACCCTTTTCTAGATATGGCCTACTTCCGAATTGCATGCTGCTCTGTTAAGACGGACCATTACATTTAACTATTTAACCTGTGCAACTATGCCGGCTTTGAGTGGCCCACTTGATTTTGTATAGTTTTACCGATCGCTTGCATCTCGGCAGCCGTGTGGGGGTGGCACGGTGCGAGTGATGGCAAATGCCGAAGCGTACGACTACGTGCAGAGTGTTCGTCGACAAACTGACCTTTTGAGGCGAATATCTCGGCAAGGGTCGTCTGTGCTGGTATGGTTTTTTGACTTTTTTGCTTGTACTGGGGAATGCCAAATCCTACATCCAGAGTTCATATCTTATATTTTGAAGACCTTCAAAAAGTTTTAAAATTTTAAAGCGAAAATATTTGGAAGTATTGCTAAAAATTGACTGTCTTCTACTTTACTAGAGACTGCTAAAAGCTTGTAAAATGAGAAAAATTCCGTTGCACCGACTATTTCTGGGGTGCAATCGGAGGCGTGCCGAGCACTCCATTATGCCTATTGCACATTTAACAAGCAGATTATACTGGAAAAATTGCATTCCTTGCTTGCTCATATCTCTTCTCACTTATAAAGTGATACAGGATGAGAGTTAAGATAGTTGATGATTTAGGATGTTGCACAAACTAATTTCTGAACCATTTCAGTTGAAGTCGCTATTTCATAGTTAACTAGAATTGATATTAGGGAGGAGCACGAAACCCACATTCACCTCTGTACCATAGTGGATGTAGCCACTAGCACTGCACGAAGAATAATATCTTAGATATTGTATTTCTAAATATATAAAATTACTTGTCCTGACTGACTGACTGATTCATCATCGCCCAGAGCAAACCGCTGAACCTAAAGAGATGAAATTTGGTACACAGTTAGGATACATCATGAAAACGCACACTAAGAAGGGATTTTTCGAAATTCCCCTGCAGAGGGGAGAGGGAGAGGATTAAGGCTTAACCAGAAGAACGGCTTCTACCGTACTAATTTAGATGTGATTTTTTGTTTTCAACTACATTTAGTCTTCATTGAGTACTTAGGTGTATTAAATTGATAACATTTTAGACTATTGTTATAAATATTTTTATCTATTTCGATTTTAAAAATGTTCGAACCGTTTTAAATTTGAATTTGTTATTGCATATTGGTTTGATTATAGGACGATTATAAACGTTCCAGAAAATTGATCAAATTGAAAATAGTTTGTTTGATTCTCGGCAATTCTCATCATTCTCGGCGGTAGGTGTTATATAACAATTACTATGGTTGTTGAAATACTGAATGAATATAAATGGGGTTTGCTTGCAAAATCCTTGCGGGGAAAGCCGCGGGTAACAGCTAGTACCTATATATAAATGTGTTTGTTACATTTGAATCTTTTCCCTGTATTACACTTAGTCTAGATCAAATAGACACATTTACATGTTGGGCTTATCACACCAGTGAATGAGATTAAATTACAAAATCTCTTAATGATTATTTAACACCTTATTAAAAACTCTACAATAAGTTATGGCTCTTTTTGACAATATATAATACAGAACACTCAAAATGCATTTCGGACTCAATACGTCCCTCTTCAGTTTGTGTTAATACATAAATATAAATGATAAAAATTATAAAAATACATTAAAAGGCCATTGTAAATATGACAAATTCACAATTATAACAGGTGATATCTCACAAGTGTAATAGTTTCAAGATCACCACTTTCTTAGCCTTGAGAACACATACAATTTACCAAAAATTACTATTTTTACAATTAAAATATAAACAGATACTCACAATAAATACTTCAGTTGAACTAGCTGAAACATCTTACCACATAACCAAAACACTGGACTAATACTATGCACTAACACAGCTTGAGCTCTATGGCTAATTTGTGTATTTATACACCTCAAGTGTCACCAATTATTACGTCATTAACTGTTTCAGTTCTTCAATAAATCAGTGTTTTATGGTTTCTAAGTGGCAGGATGCTGTCAAAAAAAAGTATGCAAATTCACGTGGTATGGCCTCAAGTACGCTGAGAAACTTGAGGCCGTACCACGTGAAGTTTGCACGGAAGGTGGAACGGGAGTGTGTGGCAATTAAATTGTCAAATATCCCACTACCGATTATCTATACTTGCGTGCATTTGTATTTATCTAATATGTAACGGAAGAAAGATACAGCTCGGTTCAAGAGACGAAAGTGTTTGTTAAATTAAAAATAAGTTCTAGTTAATAAAGGTTTTTACTATTTGTGACACTTTGTTATGTTTTTTTGTAGGAATGCTCTAACGGGAAATCCGTGTCCATCGTCGATAGTTTTTGGGAATTGAACGACCCGAATCCCGACATTCACGGTCTGTTTTTAGAATTTAATTCTAATTATTTCTGGAATAAACTCGACGGAGTGGAAGTAAAATGGAGTAATCGAATGACGTTGTAAGTAATTTTGAGAGAATATTTAATACTTTAAATTTAATAGTACTTAATGGTGATGATACATTTATGTAAGTAATTGTAAACAGCACTAAAACTCTATCAAAATATAAATAAAATGTAAAATAAGTACAGCTAACCTGATAATTGCTTCAGTTGTATTTATTATGAATAAAAAGTTAATATATTTCTAAAAATTTTTAAAAATTAATTTAAAATACTCAATTGACACAAGGTAAGGAGATAATGAATTATTACTTGAAACAGTTAACCCATAAAAGAAATGTTTATTTCACTTTTTTCTTATCCATATGCATTTTGCCTTCTTTCTTCAGCAAATAACAATGCTCGTTTTACATTGGTGCTTTTATACCGTACAAAGCTGTCCAGCATGCATCTAATGACATTCCACTACAATGGTGTCTCGTATAACGTATGCCTCGAATAACGGACGCTGTGAATAACGGACTTTCTGTTTGACCGTTACGTGACTCGAGCAACTTTCCGTTCGGCAGTTATGTGAGACGAACAATGGACTTTCTTTGAACAAGCGCAAATGATGTTTCCACTCTTTTGCTGTTGCCAATGACAATCTGCTATTTTTATAATATATTAATATTATTAGAATATATTATTAGTATATCTGAAGTACAGAGCTCCTGTTGAGATTTGGCTTGCTCCCTTGTTTATTACGTACATCACCTCAGTGCATGGTATTTACATTTATTCAAGTGTTGTGCAAATCATGGCTTCTAAAAAAACAGAAAGGTGAATTCAAATGAAACAAGGCAAAGAAATCATCAGAAGGAATGAAAGTTGACAGAAACTTCCTTGTCAAATGGGGAGAGGTTCAGGAGTTTACCAACGCTCACTATCCAAACACAGCTGAGGCCAGCAGTATCAACGATCTCTACAATGACACCCTTGCCGGCATTTCCAACATGTGTTGAAGAAGAGAGAGAAACAGACCACCTTGGATATGTTTTTCAAGAAGCCAGCTGTCAAACAACAAAGGATGGAACAAGAGTTGACCCTGCAAGCCCCAGTAGCCTCTCCTGACTCTGACTCCGATTAAAAAACAATAAAAAGATATCTGCTGTAACATGTAAAAGTGTGTGTCTGTATGAATGTGTGATTAAAGTGTTTCTCCACCTCCTCTTCACATCATCTGACTACCTGGCATAATTGGTGACTGCTCCATTTTCATTTTTTTAATGGTACAGTACGGTTATTTTATGCTGCGGAACAAATTATATGTTTTAACATGTATTTCTATGGGAAAATGCGTTTCGTATAACGGACGTTTCACTTAACGGACGTGCACCTGGAATGGATTAAGTACGTTGTACGAGGCACCACTGTATTTAAATTTATATATTTCAGTATACTGAAGTGTTCTTTAACACAACATTTAACAATATTATTTTCTTTATACAATATTTTTATATTATTTCTATTAATTTTACAATCATATTTATTACAATGTTTGAACTGAGGCGATTCTTTATACAGGTAACCCCCGTATAATACGGCACTTCTATAGCACGGATTCACTCTAACATGGTTAAGAATTGGGAACATCCCCGTATAACACGGTGCTTTTATAACACGGGTGTACTCTAACACGGTTTGGGAATTGGGTAAAATCCTCATACAACATGAAATGTAATAAAGAGTGCATTCTTTTATACCTCCGCGTAACTCTGCGCGAGCATTCTAATTGTCTTCATAGCTACTTTGAATGCTCTTTCAACAAATAATCCATTTAATGGTTAAATTTTACAATTGGGACCCTTCTTTTGCCTCTAAAAGCTCATTTTAGAATTATTGGAACCTAACCCCCCTTTTCGCACTAGTTCTTTGTTTCGTATAACACAGATTCTCATAACATGGCAATTTTTTGGAACGTAACTCCCGTGTTATACGGGGGTTAGCTGTAATTTAATTGTATTCTTGCTTTGTGTTCTTTTAGTCTTTTTTCCAACTCCCACTTTGTTTCATCTATGTAGCACTTTGGGAACACATATATGAAAGTTCATATACTACTACTACATCTAGCTGCTGATTTTTTCTTCTTTATAATAAATAACATTTAATGAATTTGATAATTGTTTTTTGAGATGCAACAATAAGTGTAGAAAGATCATTTAAACATACTTTTATATTTTTCATAAAAACTATTTATACAGGGTGTTCGGTAATATTCGTTACAAACTTCTAGGACTTGTAGAGGGGAGTGAGTACATAATATTTTGATTAGGAACCCATGTCCGGAAACATACCGTTTCCGTTCTACGGCGGTTTCACTTCAGATGTTTAACTCTTCCACTTCTGCTGAGGGAAAGAGAAAAGTCTCAGAGTTGCTTGTCCTGTTATGCAATATGTAGACAGGATGACAGGTGGTTGCCACATTGAGCCGCTGTTGTAATGCATCAGTACTGTTCTGTATGTACAGTATGCTGGGTTTTTTTTTGTTTTGGAATAATGTAAACACATAAAGTTTAAGTGTTAATAAAAACAAATGTGTTTAAGTGATAAATGGATGTTTCGTTATGTTTCCTTTTGAATAGTTACCTAATAATTGCACTGCGTCACGGCTAATTCAAATTCCTCAAGCAGAAGTGGAAGAGTTAAACATCTGAATTGAAACCGTCATAAAATGGAAACGGTACGTTTCCGGACATGGGCTCCTAATCAAAATATTATGTACTCACTCCCCTCTACAAGTCCTAGAAGTTTATAACGGGTATTTCCAAACATCCTGTATATTGACTTATTTGTTTAATTTTCCTGATACTTAAAGTTATGTTATATTGATTGCATTAAATGTAAAATCAAATTTGTACAGCATTTCTTTAATTAAAATTTTAATTTATACGTAGATGTGCCGGTATCTGTGGTTACGAAGGACACGGTGGTCTCTGTTCCATACGTCTCAGTTTGCCGCTTTTGAAGTTACGTCCTCGCAAAGATCTAGTCGAAACTTTATTGGTAAGTTTGCTTCTAATGTTTAAATTTAATGACTTTCTATTTTGTCTTTAATTAAGTAGGTAAATAATCTGGAACACTGATGTGAACATTAATATGATTTATATTAAAATATTTATTTATTTTTAATTAATCTTGTGGAAGTAACTTTCTAAACATTTAATTCTTAGTTAACAATAATATACAGGAAACTCTCCACTAACTCTGACTAATACAGGGCTGTCCAAATTTACAAAAGTCCAAGTTGGTCAAGCGGCAAATGAGTAGGTGGCTATATGGTACGGTAATTTATTATAATCACCTCTATACAGACATTTTACAGAATTTGGTAGGTTATACTGCAGAATTTATTATGGGAAACGAGCTTGAAAAATTTTACAACAATACGGCATACAGCAATGCACAGTCTTTAGTAATATTTAGTTTTTATTGCCTACAGTAATACAATTTATGATATCTGATTTGTCTGAGTTAGCAGAGGTTTACTGTATTTATGCAGTAATTTACATATTTAAAATTATGTGTGAATTTTAAATGTATGTTTTTCTACATTATTAATAAATATTTATAATTCTCTAACATTTTAAATGTATTTGTACAAAAATAAGTCAAATAAATATAGACACGAGAATATTTTACATTAATACTTGCAGAAAATCTTACATACGGTCAGATCTGTGTAAAGTCACCCACATCCTCTCTCGAGTCACTCAAATGGCCAGTCCCGATGTGGATCCTATACAAATCAACGATGCTAAAATCACACCTCTGTAAAGTTTAAATTCAGTTGTTGCCGGTCTTACCCAAATTATGCAATGTTATATAAAGTCATACTTGTAGGTGACAGCATTTAATGTTTTAAGCGTTAGTTTTAGCTTCATTTTTAAGATCATTAGTGTTGTCTTAGTGTGGTTATAAATAAATCTTTAGTTACTTTATAAAACAGTCTTTATAAGTAATATATTATTAGGCTGATATTCTTTAAATTTAGTAAAGAAAAGGGAGAAACATATATAGGATCTTCCAAAAAGAATGCTGTCACTATTTATGGTGCTTCCTAGATGTGGTAGATGACAAGACGTTTGAATGCAGAAGGGAGATGAAACTCGAATGGTTACTCTATTGTTTGGTGTATAATGCATACTTCTTAGATAATAAGTAACATAATTACAGTAATTTAAAATGGTAGAATTTGTTTTGGAAGACCGTGTGTTGTTATCTTACGATTAAAAACATTATCTCGGCATAAGCACACATCTGATCTGCACCTCACTCGCAAGGAATTTGGATAACAAATGTATTTAGAATCTTGGCTTCCATCCATTGTTGTACGATATGCAAAACTTTTTGAAGCACTCTCATGATTTAAAATTGACAAATTTGAAAGAAACAGGCAATCTCGCACCTAAAAAGTTTCAGTCCAAATGTGATTTTAGACAGATCTGAATGTATAGTATGTGGCATATCTGGAAATTCAGTTTGGAATCATGTATTTGAGTTCTCTCCAGATTACTTTTTCTTCTATAAAATTTTAAATTAATTAGTTTAATTCTAATTATTAAACTTAATACAAGACGGTGTCTTAATTGCCTACTTTTAGTCGAAATTACCTAGCATTTAGTTCGTTTAATTGGCCAAAATGTAGCCCAATAATTAATTAATTAATCAAATAACAAGACAATCATTAACGTTAATTTTGAATAATTTTTTACGACTAAACTTCTTTTAATATTTGAAGGAAATTAATTATATTTACCGAAACAAAAATCGATTTTATTTTTAAAGTAAAGATTAAACAAATAATGAGATAAAGTTTTAGAAAAATTTTCATAATTAAAATTATTTTTCAGCATGAAATGATACATGCTTATCTCTTTGTTACAAGAAATAATAAGGTACGTTTTTAAATTTTTTTAATAAAAATAAAAATAATACCAAATTCAATAAATAATCTTCTTCGAAATAATTTTTAATTATAAAAATTTACATTTACAATTACATTTATCATAATTTCATTCACTTGTGGCATTCCCTAAAGGGGCGAAAAAATGGATTTTCCTGCAAGCTTCGGTCAGGAAAGTCTATATGTTTTTGTTGAACGGTAACATACTGTGAGGCTGCCAGGGAGAGAGAAAAAGAAATTAAAAAAAAATAAAGATTATAAAAGATATATTGTTATTGTCATCTGGACTGCCGAGCAGTAACAGTCAATGACATGGGAGCGGTTGAGTCAGAGATCAATACCTCATTTACAGTCAACACAATCCATTTATTAGATAATTAATTTACAATAAAAGTACTATTGTCACAAGGGTTGAAGTCCTTGTAGATTTTGGTGCATAGTCTTCGAAAAAAGAAGAGGAAAGTCAGGCGACGAGGGTGATTTCCTATTGCTGATCGGATGTTGCATTCTAAGACCAGTTCTCGAACAGGAAATGATGTCTGGTGAATGCAGATCGGAATTTCCTAAGTTTCTCTTGACAAAGGTATATAACTTTTGGAGGCTACATCAGCAAAGGATGAAGATGGAACCTTGCGGGAAACACCCTAGTTAGGGTCATAGCCTTGCGGGATGCCATGGCAAAGAACTGAGTATCCTTGTGGCCCGGACTTAAATATCTTATGGTCTCGTAAATTGTTACTTTATTGGTTATTAATCTTTTTTCTCGGTTCCCGATTGGTCTTTCTCTGTTACCAGGTGAAATTGGACCAGATCAGTTATTGAGAAAGACAATTGTTTATTAATACAATTCGACACCGTCTTTCATTCAGTATTGAATGAACCTTGTACCTTAACTAACCTTTTCTTTTTTTGTTCATCTTGTCTTATAAAGAGTTTAATTTACTAATTTTTCTGCTTGAGGTTTTAATATTAAAATAATTTTATTTTTTTCCTTTTCCTTTATAATTTAGTTTCCTTAATTTTAATTAATTGCGAAGATGAAGATTCATTTTTGTTTGGATATATTGTTAAAAGAATGTTTTTGTAAGCAGAACGTTTCATAAAAATATCATTAATTATTTCTTATTCCAGTATACCAGTACACATTAATAATAAATAGCATAATACCATAAATCATAAAAATAACTTTTAATTTTTCCTGTAAAGTATGTTCTTTATGGCTTTTCTTTGGCTTATCAGAGCTACCCACATCACTACCCTTGCGTTTTGGAGTCACATTTGCAAAGTAATTGGCATAAAAGAAACAGAGAAGCACCGATAACACACAGGCATGTGTTACAAGAGAATTACGAGCATGTGACTTTAGTGTTGAGGCATACTCGCATTATCAGACTTGTACAAGAGTGGCCGAGTTTGCCAAGGATACACTATTGGGAGTCAATTACTCAGAAGGAGTTGTTTGGTAATGTACAGCCACTTTGTGAAAGACTCGTTAAGCAATCTGTTCCTCACTTGGCAAATAGACTAGTCCCTGCTACTGGACAAGATTCATGAAATGAGCTATAAGATATTTGAAAAATTTAGTTGTTCTAATACTTTATATTTATGTAATATTATTGAATATAAACTACTCTTTGAATCTTAATCCATTTTAATGTTCGGGATTTATATAATTTTCACATTTAATAATTTATGATTATAAAAAAATAAAGACTTGAACATGTTAGCTCCTAAATAAGCAGGTGACGTATGTATAGAATCTAATATAATTATTTATGAATTTTGTTTGATTAAAAGTAGCTACAAAAGTTGTTGTTCTAGTTCTTTGTATAATAGTAATTTTACTGTTCATTCAATTCTTAAATTCATGAAAAACCTTTATTTGGGTAGCAAGTAATAAATCTTGAGCTTTCCAAGAACTTTCACAGTGGAGAATGTCCATCTTTGGGGGTGCATACATAAATATAAATAGATTTTGGACAGAAATTTGTCTTTACATACAACAAATTTTCAAACAGTTTCTGCCCACCAGTAGCTGAGCATATAAAATCTCCAAATGCTGCAGTTGGTTGCGGGTTTGTGCCTGGAGTTTTCTGGGTTTCCTTCATGTGTGTGATGTCTAAATAATGGTCGATTTCCCAGAAAAATGCTTCCAAGAGACATCTTTTCCTTGACAAAAAGTAAACCATCTGACTTTTTCTGATCAAAAAGTACAAAAAAAATTATTGAATTGCATTATTTTTCATAAGTAAAATGACATTTGCATTATAGAATATGTATAGAAGACTTGTTATTAATTATATTGGTTACATTAAGAGAAACATTAATAACTTATTTTGTATGTCGTTGCAGGATCACGATTCGCATGGACCCGAATTTCTGAAGCACATGTTTCGAATAAACAAACTTACAGGAGCCAATATAACGGTTAGCGATACAGGTTCAAAATAAGTGTTATAACTGTCCAAAACTCATAATTGGATTATTAATAGGTGTATCATAATTTTCACGACGAGGTGAATTCGTATCGTCAGCACTGGTGGCGCTGCAATGGTCCCTGCAGGACAAAACCGCCCTTCTATGGAATAGTAAGGAGGGCAATGAATAGAGCTCCATCATCTGTCGATTATTGGTGGGCAGAACACGAAAGAAGCTGCGGTGGTGTTTTTGTCAAGATTAAAGAGCCAGAAAATAATATTTCTAAGAGAAAACCAGAAGTAAACAATAAAAGTATGTATTATTTTTCCTATTTAAATATCAAATTCTAATTAATGTAATTATTTAAAAATTATCATTAAATTTAATTAAATCTAGTCTCATCTTTTATAACGTTTGTATCCATTTCTAAATGGTAAGTGCGTATGTTTGTAGACAGATAGATTATGCGTATAAATAATTTTGAAGTCTAATTAAGTATGAGGATCAATTCATAAATAAGGTCTCCTACCACAAAATTCCAGAAAGTATGGGGATACAAATAAAGTTGTCGTGGTCATCTATTTAGTAACTGTAGGTGTCCAGTCTACTGGCATTCAAGTGGACAAAAGCACTGAACACTGGTAGTCGCTTATGGGTTTGCACTTCACCAATGAGCCAGCCATATGGAGATTTCTGGATTTTCTTCAAGTTTGTAACAGCTAAATAGGAACCGGTTTCTTATAGAAAGTCTTTCTGGAAGGTATCTATGCTGTAGCAGATCATCGATGTGTTGTGTTGCCATATATAAACAAACAAACAAACTAGTTCATACATGTTAAGGCTTTCAGTCTATCGTGTCATCGCATTCAAGTTTAAATGTGAACTCTTACTTATAACTGTTTTGCACAGAATGAGGAAGAAATGAATTTTTTGCATTGGACAATGCACACGAAGGGAGAAGCGGCCGAATCAATTTGTTCAGTCGGTTGATCATACAAGAACTCGAAACATGTTATCTTGCACCATGATAACATGTTTTGAGAGCTTGTATGATCAGCAAAGACAATCCAAAGTTATAGGTTTCTTCACACCTTTCTTAAAATCTGGCCATGCTAAAATTAAAGGTAGGTGTCATAAGGTTGACTTTTTCATTTGATGCTACAATTTAAGTCGCTATAGGGTGAGCAGTGAACGTTTTATGACCATGTGCCACATAGTGAGTGTATTTATTTTTTAAATGTTGCATGCCAAAGTTCTATAGTTCAAATGACTATTTTTAAATCAGTGTAATGAATATGTTCTATATTCTAAATAAAGCATATTCATTAAAATAAATGTAACAAAGCTGATTGAAAAGAGTTTGATGATATAGTAAAGTGAATGTAAAATCATAATAAAAACCTGAAATTTAATGGTAAAAAGTGAAGAAAATTGTATATGCTGCATACCAGTTAATATCTCCTGATGTGCTACAAGTTTGCCACTCTGCTATAGGAGAACAAATGCAAAAAGGAATTGGATATTTGGGAAAAGTGTCACTCGAAATCAGATGTTCTTAACTTTCTTACGATTGTAGATTGTGCAGATGCGTTAAGTGGAGGTCGTGCTTTGCAATATTTGGCCACAATGGCTATTCCTGTTAACTGGCAAACATCCTCTGATGCAGCACAAGTGCAACCACAACTAGAAACGGTTTGTCATTCTCCTGCCGATTGCGAGTGCACAATCAACGAACAAATGTTTTTGTGTTTGTCATTGTGACTATTTAAAATGGCATCAAATTGCAGCACCGAGTAGGAATTATGATTTGTGAATGCCTGTAAAATTTCCTTATTAAAATTAGAACCTTTCCCTTTTTGTCATAAGATGTAGTAGATTGCTTTGTTCAGTTCAATTTTCTAATCACACAATATCAATTGTAATCTACACTGTCGATCATTACCAGAGTTTCATTGGTCGGTTTGTAAGGATGGTCAAACGGCTAGGGTGGCAGTCTGCCACTCTGGGGACCTAGAATCTAATTCGGATGGGTCGAAAAATTATGGAATTTTTTGAGGGGTAGTCCCGTCCTTGCCACTCGGCAGCCCTTATTGTAGGCCTGGCAAAAAGGCCCTCTGGGTGCCCAAGGGATTGAAAGAATAAAAGAAGGGAAAAAAATCAGTTTGTAACTATATTGCATCTATGTCTCGAGTACAGCTATGCTGTTGCTTTATCAGTTACTCTACCCAGACTTTATTTAATTTTTGTTTCTGGACTAAGACTTTTTTATTATTAATCTTAACAGAATGATTTAAAGGTAACTGGTTAAGCTGCCAAATTCCATAATTTAATTAATAATTACCTTATGTCTAGCCGGTAAATAATTTGGCTTCTTGTGTAACTGTGTATAATTAATGTGGATTGAATTGTTTATTACAGAAAATATTTTTTTCTATGTTTTTGTATATGCTAAATTCATAGCTTTGATTTTTTTTTTAAGGTTCGAGTCCTAAAAAGTCAAAATTTGCAGCAGACATCAGAACATTTTTCAAGTCCAAAGAGAAAGAAAAGAATGGAAATATGTGTACGGAGAAGAAATCGTTTGATACGTCCAAAGGAAAATCACTTTCCAATAATGGATTTCGATCAAATATTCATACCTTAAATGATCATAAGGATAAAAATGTTCAGAAATATCCAGTTGTGCCTTATCAAGGAAAAGGAAAAACTCTAGGTTCGCTCGGCAGCAACGGTGATTCGAAGACTTCCAAGTTAATGTCTCTGTATTGTGTCGACAAGAACTCCGACAGACTTCACTCTAGTTCGGAAAGCAGTCATCCGTCGACTTCGGGTAAATTTTTTAAAATTATAGTATTAAAGACATATTAGTACAGGTACGTCACCAGATATCTGACACTCTTGGTTCAAAAGCTTTGTTAGACCAATTTTGGTCTAACAAAGCTTTTGAACCAAGAGTGTCAGATATTCGTCAACACACATCTCTAATCCACTAATTATACACCTCCTGTGTGTTTAATGTATATCATGGACTGCTAGAAACTTAAATTAAATAAATAGATGAAATACAGGTAATTATGCATTAATACATTAGTGAAATAATAAATTTACATATAATTTTATTTTATTGTTTTTAATTTATATAAAATGTACAACACAAATACCTGCTGAGGAGGGACGAACGAGTCCGAAACGCAATATTATGTATGTGTCCAGGTATATTAAATAAAACAAATTTCTGATCTGTGAAAATTTGTTGCAGTATCTGTAAAGCCAGTCTAATAAGTCCTGATAATATAAAATATCAGGTACTAGTAGTACTAGTAGACGAAAAAATTTATACTTTTAGAAATACGTTTGGTCCGGATTTTATATTTATAGAGGATAATAGACGGCGCATACCATACAAATTATGAATGATTTTCTGCAAAGACGAAGACATTTAGCTAACGGATTCAGAATCTGAATCCGATAGAGCATATTTGAGAAACTACACTAAAATTCTCTCTCCTCAGAAGCTTTCAGGAACTCATAAGTACACTTCTTCAAAAATGAAGTTTATTGTACACTATCTTAATTAACAAATTATTATCTAATTGTGATAGAAATCTTATTTATTATTAATGTTTCTTTTTCCAAATGTACTGTACCTGTACAATAACCTTCTACGTTTGTATCTTTCTATCAGCTTTTGCAGATACATAAAGCTTAAATGTAAAGATACTGTATAATGTTTTGAATATTAAATTAAACTATTTCACCAATTTATAAGATTTTATGATTTATAAGTTATAGTTTTGAACTGCAAAAACGCATATAAACTGTGCTTAGGTTTTAGACATTAATACAGTATTATTATATATAATTATAATATTCAATATAATTATATAAGATTCGTATAATTTTTTTTAATATTATTTCTATTTTAATCATAATTCAATGAAGAAATTTGCGATTTGTTTTTAATTATTTTGTTTACCAGCTTTCTCAATAAAGTCATCAGCGTGACGAAGAATGAGAAGAAACTCGATCCGAATTAATTCCGAAAAATCATTAGAATTCGATTTTCGGATTTCGTTTAAGAGCAGAAGAGCTTTATAATCAATATCTAATCTACTATAATTAATTAATTTTTTTTATACATTTTATTGACAAAATATTCAAGAGCCGCACTAAAGAAGGGTTAAAAATAAATAATTAAGAAATATACCAAGAACGACAATTGGAAAGTAAAATCATAGTTCAAAACTATTTTATCTCCTAAATATTTATTAGAATGTATCGTTTTGTATAAAAACATTCTAGTTTGCTTTTATCGTAACGAGAATCAAAGTCTAGATTATAATCTTTTCTGAATCATAACGGATTTATTTCATAAGAAATAGAGAAGCTAAAATACTATAAAAAAACTGTAAGTTTTATACATTACTATTCTAATGTGTCTCTAATTATTTTATTTATTATTATTACTAAATATTATTATTTTAATAATATATAATATCAATAATATAATATATATAAATAATAACATATTCTATACAGCATATTATTATTAACATATTTAAACAATAATTCCGATCTTAAAAAAGAATATGTTTTTGCTTTTACAATTTTAAACATTGCACGTAATGCAAATTTTTTTTATTTGATTTTATTAAATAAATTTATATAAATTCATAAATTACTGATAAAGTTATTCTTACTTAAAAGATAGAAATTTGGGCATTTTTCCAAATTTTTTGTGCTTTTTGTTTGTGAGGAAGCCAGGCTTATGTCTGTCCACTTTCAGTCATCTTAGCGATTCAAAATACAAGGAGTAAGTATTTTATAGACATTTAAGTTATATTTCTTTATTATGAAAACGTAATTTTAGTGAAATTAAAAATAACTAAATATTTATTTAAACTTCATGAGTATTAGTTCTACCCTACC